GTCACTGGGCCAGTGACGTTAACTAGAAATATTTGTAAATTTAATTGAAGGAAGACTTTTACAACGTTTAATTCTATTTGAGATTTACCGCTGCCGTGTTCACCCGAATATAAGAACTATGTTGACAATGAACAAGTGTATTAAAAATATGTGAATATAATAGTGGTTACCAGTATTTGGAAATGAAGTCAACTTCTTCTCCTTCGCGTTCAACAGCTGTAAACTCTGGCGGAAAGTTCTGGTTATTCATTCACTTCTGGACTGCAGTCCTGTTCCAGAACCTGAGTGTTGCGTGTGCTTTCGTTTTACAGATCCGACTTCTTTGTATGCAGACTGCTGGTTCCTTGCCTCTGAAGCAGATGCAATCCGACTTCAAAGAAGCTCCCAACTGGTCGACTCTTACGACATGCTTTTGGGTAGGCAGTGGGTCTATTCTTGTCTTTCGCACACTATGGCCCCGGAACCACATGAGGGACTGGAAATGAAATAAGAACGCCACTAAACTTCACAAGATGTCACTTAGAAGTTTTAAGAAAAGTTTTAAAAGAGAACAGTGAGTTAAATCCAGCTTCTACCACCGGTATTACTCAGTGTTTTACTTCAGTTATCACGGGGTCAGGACTGAATACACGTACTGAAATAATAACAACAGAAAACAAACAATGAAATACTTGCACTGGAATATAAACAATGAATTAAACATAATAAAAAAACTTACAGTAGAACGCAAACAATGAAACACTATTAAATACAAACAATGACGAGCGCATAATGAATTAGAAAAAAAAAATGCATAATGAAGTACAAACAATGAAATACAAGGGATGCAACAGAAAATACAGAATACAATATTATTATGGCCTGGAGATAATGAGGCACCTGGGTGTAACCAGAGGGTCTGGCCAGCTCACTACACTCACAGCAAAGGCGGGACGGACATATAACCAGATTGTGACTGGCACCATCAGTATTGGAACTCTGCCCTGGCTTCCGAAGATGAGGACGGAGCACTCATGGGAATGACCCTAGTGCTGTAATGTCCATTCTTGACTCAGCTCAACTCAACTAAACAAATAGAATACAAATAATGATACACACTTAATGAAATATAAACAAAGAAATACATATAAAGTAATACAAACAATAACATACAAATTGTAACACACAAAAATTAAATACAAATAATACTAAATGCTATCACTTTTAATGGCACGATTCAGATGAAGACAAATTCAAGGAAACAATTATGCAGTAATGTTAATTACTGATGAATTCCCAATTAAATTGAGACAACAAAAAGAACCTGTATTTTGCATATGATCAAAAAGCGCATTCAATGTCAGTGTTCATTTGGTGTTGATTATTAAATAAGTATTCAATGGAGTAATGCTCATTCAGTAGCATTTCGGTGCTCTTTAATAGTATCCTACCCCCAGATTACGTCATCGGACAGTCCAACATTTTAGAGGGTGGTAAGAAGGCGATTCCCAGCAGGCTCTGTGGAGAGCTTCGAGCAAGGCAGGGCACTTGAGATGCTTTGCTCATCCACTGCACATATGTCCATTTCTAGTCGTCTCGACATTGTCCTTCTATAGGATCAAGATGGACACAGGCGAGAGAGTGAGGTCTACGAAATGCGCAACTCTTCCCCATTTAAATCCAAGTCACTTTTATCCAGCTTCATGATGCGAATCCCACTCTTACTGCGGCTTCCATCTGTCGCCCGCACTGCTTAAGAACTTTCTAGGCGCTTATTGGACTAATCAGCCACCTTCTTACTCATAATTGTTGATCATTACTACTTTGAATGAAAGTGATCTTCATCACTTGTGATGGACGAAAAGCGCCATTGGACTCTGGCTGAAAGGATAAGTGCGTCTGGTGCATGCTTTGAGAATCTTACTTTGTGGAGGATTCAATTTTTCCCCACTGTAAGACTATCGTACCACTGTCTGAAAGACAGTCGATTTGAATCAAAGCTTTCTTGCTAAAAAAAAAAAAAAAAAAAAACACAAGACACAGTCAATCAATTAGTCAGTCAATATGCCCTTTATAAAGCGTTGCTCTGTTCATTACACCTCTGAAAGTCTGTCTTTTCCTAGCCATTTGGGTTAGGTTCAGGTTAATCTCCCCAAATAAAGTAGGTCACTTTTCATTCACAAGTTTGTTGGGCTGGTCGACTTTCCTGAAGGTTACGGTGTGTCTTGCTCTGTTGTTTGCTTTCTGTGATGTCATGCATTTACGTTTTTTTTTATCTCTCTATCGTCTTCTTGGTCTGCTCGTAGTCTGCAACATTTCGTTTCCTTGGGTATACTGTTAAAAATTGCTTGGACAGGGGTGAAAAGGGCACAGGCCTGAACACAACCTATTACAAATATCAGAAAGAGACAGTCATAAAATTGTAGTCGTGTTATGAGATAAAGGAAACTGAAACCTGTTGTAACCGTTGGAAAGGTCTGCGGAGAAAGAGATAAAGACAACGCTGGAAGATTCTTTATAGCCTTTTATCATAGCGTGGATGGCTGTTAGCACATGAATTGATACATTCTGTTAAAGGTCTCAGGTTGTGTAGAGGCATGATCGCCCATGCCAGTCGGCGAATCACTTTATAGCTATGATGACAAGAACTCCGCTATTCATGTAAGTAAGTTTATGTTATATTTATTCGAACATTTGTTGCATTAGTCTGAGTAAACAAAACAATTATGAATGAACCTTGCATGAGATGCATTCTGTCGGTTTGTCCCAGTTAGATATCTGACAAATGCATTATTTCTGACACGATTCGGAATCTGTACCAAGAAATTCAACATGTTTCATGGCCAGTCCCAAAAGAAAAATAAATTAGGACAACATAAACGAATGACTTCTTCTTCTTCTGCCTTTCTAACCCCTAATGTCGCATAGGCCCTCAACAAACTCATGCCAAATCGTTTTATCCTTCACTATCGCATGCAGCTCTCTCCATGTCCTGCTCAACTTTTTAACGTCACTCTCTAGCTCCCTTCTCCATGTTTTTGTTTTCGTCATCCTTTATTTATATGCCCCTGTGGGTTCCAGTGTAAAGACATTCTAATTATATTTTTCTCAGGTTTTCTCAACGTGTGTCCTATCTAAAACCAGAGTATTTTCTTCACCTCTTGGTCCACTGGAACTTATTTAGTTCTCTTCCAAAGCTCTACATTAGTGATTATTATATCATACCCTTTAATTTCCTCTATTCTGCACAGGCACCAGTTAATGAATGTTTGCAGTTTATAAGTAACTGCCCAAGTTGTTCTCCGTGTTTCTAGTCCATACAACAGTACTGATTTGACGTAAGAATTAAAAATTGTTAGTTTAGTATTTGTTTACATTTCTTTTTACCTGCACAAATTCCTTAGCGCTAAGAAAGCTCCTCTTGCCTTTTGTATTCGCATTTTAATATCGCTATCAGTTCCCTCCAGCTATGACTTACATGGATTTTTTTTCTAACGAGTTTGTTCATATTAATAGAAGAACATTATATGTAATCTCAGGACCAATGTAATTAAATTCCAACAAGAAATGAAATAACAAGATACAAACAAACAGCACTATCATACATGTCAAAATGCACCACAGGCTTTTCTAAAATAAGACATGTCATTATCATCATCATCATCATCATCATCATTATCATCATCGATTCGCAAATATTTTGGAAACCGTTGAATTCACCACTGGGGGTTTAGAAGCTGAATCAACTAACATCTAAACAAGGTACATTATGTTATTATTCACATAGATACTTACAATGAAAGCATAATGAAACTATTACTATTTTTCGTGCATAAACATAGTCAGCTAATGTAACGCAAAGTGAAGAGCACTTTTCAGGTCGGGAATACGATCTTAGACCAAACGTCAGTCGATGAATGATGTGATCTAACAGTGTCTATATTATTACAATATTATTTTGAATATCTTTTCGTCCTAAAGTGGACGAACAAACCTGAACTTTCTAACGTCTTACAGTCAGTGAACGCTAAGCAGATGAAAAAGAAGAAAATAGCGAGCATTCGGTGTGTAACTGATATTGAACTAGCGGCCGCCTAATGCACTTAAGCGTCGGGTGAAGGCTGTTTGTTTTTGGTGTATCTTGATGATCATCTCAGCTTAAGTTGACTACTGTTGAGATTTTTGTAGATGCCTCATGCATTTAAATGCGCAAGCTGCTGGTTTGCTGGAACTACGCTCGTGTTCACGTAAATCATTTGGACATTGATAGGCAAGTCTGTGGCTTTTTGCTGGCACATGAACTGAATACTTAGTGGGAGTGGGCAAAAAGGGGGGGGGGGGGGCCGGGGTGTTAGCCTTGAAATTAAAACCCCATAAGGAAATATTACAATTTGTTTTTGGAACCACCCCCATTTTTACGCACCCTTCATTTATTTCTCCTTCTGTCTACACTCCCCTTGTCGACTGCCAAGAACTGGACTGAAATATGGAACTCGTCCAGCTACTGGTCGGGCCACTATTTCAAAGCTGCTTTATACCGAATGGGTATTTTATAAGTGATAAATAACATTTCAAAAATAAGAATATAATACTTCAGCGCAGATATTTACCTCTGATGAGAGGGCTCCTTTGATAATAAACTTTCTCAATACATATTGCATTATGTGGAAAATTCAACAACGTCCACAAACATGATACGGCCGTTTGGAGATGAAGTTATAGGCTTTTATTTATTTTAAGCAACGACGCACTAGGTGAGGCTGCTAGCTCTGCCCATTGTTGCCTTGCCTTCTCGGATAGATCCCTGGAAACTAAAATTATCTGAAGGATAGGTTAGTTGTGTATCCTTTACAGGACGTTGCAGAACCAACCCCAACAGCCCCTGACTGCTGTGAGGTTTTTCTAGGCAAATTCACATCCAGTAGTTATCTGAAGTATACAAATGCATACAAAATAAACGCTGGAATAAATTAATGTTTACTGAAGTAATTGTGCTGTTACATAAACAGACTTTAGGAATGTTACGATAAATTATTTTTGCAGTAGCAATATTGTCTAATCTCACGGTTCTTGTCTAGTATACAGGCAGGATCGTTGCCGTATTTATTGATCCGACTAATGGATTTAGGATTAACAGACATACTATCTGTGGCAATCAAATGTTCTAAGGTAATTTCAAACTCTCCGTGTCCAGGCTCCGTGAAAAACGTCAGCTGGTAAATGACCTTGTCTCTGGCTGTCTCGGCTGACATAATGGGCTCTAACCCTCGGTCACCTGCTGTTTCCTTGAACTTGAGCACATCGTCGCTTGTGAAGAGCTTCGATAACATTGTGACATTGCCGACACTCAGCAAGGCACAGTCCGATCTGTATTCTTGCGTAAAGTTGTTTAACGTATCCAAGGCTGTCTGAAGAGCTCGTTTAGCGTCAGGATCGGTCTGCGGCACGTTTTGCCAAGCTAGACAAGCACACCAATGAGCAGCAACATCCGCATCGGCGCAGGTACGTGATTTAGGGATTTCTTTAAACAAACTTATGCCTCTGTTCTTTATGTCGCCCATTCCAGCACCATCGAACTTCAGAACATCTTTGAAAGTTTCATGCAAATCGAAAGCTGTAGTCAGACGGTTGACGTTGGTTCTCACATTTTTTATTATTTCCGGGTACTTGGTCTCAAACCAGGGTGGAAAGCGCAAGCTAACGTAGGGTAGTCTTTCTTCCAGTTTGCCGCTCAAAGTGCGTCTAACGTCGGCAAAACGGGCACCATGATCTGCCATTATAAGAAGCAAGGTGTTATTCAGAAATCTGCCCGTTTCCAGATATTGAATGAAAGTCTTCAGATCCTCGTCAGCCTGAAGATGAATTTAAAAAATAATTTATGTAATTAAAAAAAAAAAAAAACTTATACAAAATACTAACTTCATAATTGGGTAAGATTAGTAATAAAAATCTTATCAGCATAATATATATCCCCGAGACAAGATATCACTTGCGAAGAAATACGAGGGTACGTCAATAAGTAGGTCACAAATTGTTGTTTAGAAAAAAAATGAGGTAGATAGCGACAGGAAAACTGTTTATTTTTTAAATACATACACTGTCCCTTTATTATTCAACTTAATGTCCACCAGTACTCATACACTTGTCCTATCGTTTTATCAGTCCTCCCAAACATGCAGCATAGTACTGCGTGCTCTGTTTTTTAACAACATTTTAACTTCACATTCAACGACTGCGTCATTCATGAAATGTCTCCCCTCCCCCCCCCCACCCCCTTAAGGTGGGTTTCCAGCAGACCAAAAGGCTGTGAGCATCCTGTACAGCTGCTACGGTCAACCGGTTCTTGCCTTTCACGTCTAATTATCTCCTCTACCCGTCGCACGGATGTGTCCGCTGCAATCTTAACAGGACGACCCGATCAGATTTCATCGACAATCGTAGAGCGTCTTTGAGAAAAATTCGCTACCCAGCTATGCACGGCTTTACGAAATAAACTTTTGTCAGCATCAGCAGAAAGCATTTTTTTAAGCATGTCTTTTGCAGGCTGCCACCACCACATTGGTACAGACAAATCAGCACTTGACAAGTGATGCAGTCAACATCTTCTCCGTTTTGTTTTCCACTTCCTATTTTACTGTTTGGGATTTTGGAGCATATATAAGTTTCTGTTTCTTATTCTTCATGCCGCCTCGATCATATTGCAAGCTGCATGCTTTATGTTAAGTAAGAAATGCTTCGCAAAACACATCATGCAGTTGTACTGTGTCTCTCATGTTATCTTTCATACTCGTTCTTATCTACTCAGTATTGTACATCTGTGTCCTCTTTTGATGGCGTGGTGGGTTTGTAGAAGATGCCAGCTGTCCTAGTTCTTGGTTTTCTTTACTGTATCAAATATACATACACATCTGTGTCTAATTTCCCATTATGCTATCACACCGGCAAAACTGTATTTCCCAAGGAATCATCAGCTAGACATTTTAGAATTGACCGACCTGCTAGACCTAGTTTAATTATAAAAATCCGTTTGGATATTAACTCCAGAACTTCCGTAAGGTGGCCACAATGGCTTCTGACAACTTGTATAAGTAAATAAAACGACAGGACTTTACTCGCACGTGTAAAACGTCCGCTAAGGATGCTGGATTCATATTTTTTCTACTGCTCGGCCCTGGATGCATGATGTGGTCAACATCACAATAGCGGCCGTTGCGTTCCCGGACCTGAGAGCCTATGTGAAAAAACACACAACCTGACTTGATGTGGTTGGAACCCAGTACCTTCGGGTCGGCCGCTACTCTACAGAGGCTCATGACATCAGTATGACCACAGATTAAAAAGAACATGTAAGCCCAGCGCCCAAGGACTGACCCCAGCCGTTGCGTAACGTGCATTCAATGCTATTTCCACGTTCGTATTAAATAACAGAAAAACTATAATTCAGAACAGTGTGTGCCAGTTAGGTAAGAACTTCACGTAATCCAGTAGGCATTCTGATCGTCAGCTGAGACCCAGTGATCTAGAATATAATCTGAAGATAGGGCATAGTGAAAAACAACTGAATGCACAATGTATTCAAATAAGTATTTATTGCTGGCTTGAAGAAAACCAATAGACTGCAATTGTTACGGCGTATAGACAGAATATTGAAGGCGGAGTAGACGACAAGGCAGATCAAGAAACCATAAAGATATGATAGAATTTAGAGGCAGACTTATACACATAATGGAAATCGAATGCCAATTCTTGAAGCAATGCAAGTTAATAGGCTAGAAGAAAAAGAAGAAAAACAACGTGAAGAAAACAGGCAAAACAAGAAGAAGAAGAAGAAGAAGAAGAAGAAGAAGAAGAAGAAGAAGAAGAAGAAGAAGAAGAAGAAGAAGAAGAAGAAGAAGAAGAAGAAGAAGAAGAAGAAGAAGAAGAAGAAGATAAGATGCATTTAAAAACAACTTGATAAAATGACTCTAAATGTTCGTGCACTGAAACCTACAGTTTCAAACAAGTATAATACGATCAAAAAGAGCATCAAGATGATAATTAGAGAAAGAAACGAAGATGAGGCGGAGGAGAAGATAAGATGATAATGAGAACAATAATAATCATGATGAAATGGAGAAGGATGGAGAGGAAACTTACCATTGTTATTTTATTGTTGTCATCATGACTCAGAGGTGTGTAGAAATGGAACAGGAACTTTGGGTCGTCTTTATACATGTTGAATATGTCTCGTATCCAGTTAAACCATACCATGTGCATAGGTTCCGATGCCTGGCAGTCCGGGGAATACTTGTGGTACAGTGGGTCGACAGCTAGATAAAAGGGCCTCATGAAATAGTCCGCTGGAGAGTGCTCGAAGCCCAGAAGTCGGTAGTTAAAAGGCGCGATTTGGATTTGTGCATCTGCCCATGATGTGACGTAACCATGCTGAGAGAAGTTTTTCCACAGCCAAGGAAAACCATCTACAGATGCAGCTCCTTTTTGGTTTCTCCTGGCTTCAGGGAGCTCCTGCTCGTGTTTTCCTGTGAGAATTGGTAGCAGGGCAGCTGGCGTTCCATCGCCCATGATATTATAGCCTTGGAATTCTATAGCTTTGAGTTCGTTGACGAGATAATCTCTGGTTAAAGGCATGCGTCGTAACCAAGACATCCTGGACATGGAATCAAAACCCAGAAACGCAATAGACAGACCTAATCCATTAGCTGGCGGTTTGACAACTTGTAGACGTTCTTTGATTGTCAAATTAAGGTGAATACCAGCATGTATGTTTTCATATGTGTTATTATTTATGTCCACGCAAGTTATTTTAAAAAAGTCGGATGTCAAATTGGCACCATCTTTAATGTCTTTAATAGGGTCGGAAAAAGAGATCTGATAATCTCCGGGTCCACGTATTAAAGGGTAATAATCACAATGGAAATCCTTGTGAATCTTCTTGGCTTCTTCAGAAAACCGAAGGGTACCGTTGTCTACGAACACCCAGTTTTTTTCTCCCTTGCACACAACTTTTGGTAGTTTCTTATAGAAAGCCATCATGACAGGATCATCGACATCCAGTTCTGGATGTATGCAGGCTTGTATCTCCTCTCGCACTGTATCGCTGACATTATCGTTGGAAATTCCCACTAAAAAACTGTTGCTGTCGTACTCATTAAAAACGTTCTTTTTAATTGTCATCACATAAGAATTATTGTGTGATAAGAAAATTATCATCACTGCTCCCACAATGAGTCCTGCAAGCGATCGGCGGCTCAAGTACATTCTCGTATTTAGTAAACGAATATATGCCATTTTTTTAGAATTAATTTAGTTTTACACTGCACATTCGCGTCCTGCTCCTAGCGATGAAAACTATCGCTGTAATACAAATATTTCACAACTATTATGCATGAACATAATACTATATAGTTTCCTAGAACAGACTCACGACAGTTCACAAGAAAAGGAGAAACAGCTATACAATCAATAAAAGTATCATTTTATAGCCCCACAAACGATTCGATCGCAACACCGCTCACTTCAGTACTAATCTTTAGTGCTCGGAACGAGTGACATCAGTTTAATCCAAGCAATGTGTATTCCCGTAGTGTCGATGCTTTCATACCTTACGCTAAAACACGAGCGTCAAGTAAAGCACGTTATATAGGGTAGTATGTGAAGAGTGGAAAGTTCAATGCAACATAAAAAGGCGACTGTCTTGAGTCTCGCGCATGGCATTCGTGGCCCTGTATGTTAAGCCACAGAAAATGGTTCACGCATGATTTCATGTGATGCCATATTCCTCCAAAAAAAAAAAAAGCAAGTTTGGGTTAGTATTGCAAATTTACAACTGTCTGACATTTCATGGTCCTAGAAACATGTAATGATGTTTGTTCCACATGAGATTACTCGCTGCCATATGTAAATGTGTGCGGGAAAGTCTTTTTGGACAAACAACCTTCACCTGAAAAGAATGCATACAAAATAAATTTAACAAAGCAAAAAAGCAAAACATATATTTATAAAAAGATCTAAAAAATAATCG